TGCTTACAAGGACAGCGCTATGGAAAACACTCAAGTGTACAAGTGGTTTTCTCATTTCAAAACGGGAAATGTTGATTGATGACAAACTTCAATCTGGATGTCTGTCAACTTCCCGAATGGATGAAAATCTTGACTCATAGTGCATTTGGAGTTCGTTCCACCAGATCAGATAGTTAAACAAGCTTTCTACATAAAAGATTGCATAATAGTATGCAACAATAATGGCCTGATTTATGGCAGACAGAGAACTGGTTTTGCTACTATGACAATGCACTTGTTCACGCAGCCATCTCAGTGAGCCAGTTTATGGGAAAAAAAGCCAGCATTCCTCTCTTGCCCCACACACCTTACACACCTGATCTGTGCAATGTTTTTTTGTTTTTTTTTTCCATGAATGAAGAGGGACATGAAAGGAGAGTGATTTGATGTGAAGAAACAAACGAGGAAGGTTCTGTCAACCATCCAAACAAATGAGTTTGAAAAATGTTTCCAAGAGTGGAATCTCAGATTTGACAAAAGTATTAAGTGTAATGGAGAGTACGTTAATGGTGATAAGGTTATTTTATATATTAAAAAGTGTAAATACTTATCTTTGGAAAAGAAATTCTGGTTGTTTGGGAGTGTATTTGTTCCTATATCTTTAAATTGAACTAAAAGTATATGAGAACAGATCCATACAGCTCTTATTCAGCCTTACCTTAGGGCATGAATGGACTCAACACCTATTTAAAAGCTGCACAATCAGCAAATCATGGTGATTGCAATGAGGAATTTGTGATGTGAGGAGATTGGTGTGATCATTTCAAAATGAGGGAACAGACATGTTCTATTACAGGGTAAACAGGAATTATCCAGAAGTCAGATGTTCATCTTCCAGAGAGTTTCTGTACTATACTCTTCTCCTTTAATCTGTAAATTGTAGTGACTGATCTTTGGATTTTCCATTAATTTTATATTTCTTGGACAACCCCAATTTGTCTTAATTGTAAGAGCCTACTGGGTCCTACAAATTTAAAATAAAGTGAAAAAAATTGTCATGTGACAGTAGCACTATCATCACTAATTGTGGAAGCATTCTGTGCACCTAGAAAGCACAAATGCTAGTCAGGGTGGCCAAAATGGAACCAAGAAAAAAAATATGACTAGAATATTGAACTAATGATAAGAATGCAAATTTATTTTGTTTCATTCTTAGATATAAGTGATGGGATTTTGGCAGAGAAAACATTATGTCCTGATTCGAAGACTTTTCTGGGAGATCATTACAATACACATTCTCTGTTTGGCTGGTCACAAGCAAAATCTACCTTTTAGTGAGTACTTTGT